CCATGATGACAAAGCTGAACTTTTCAGCTGCCATTACTCCAGTTTTCAGTGTAATACTGTATGATTCTTTAGAAATCATTCTAATGATTTGGTGCTTAAGTAACATTTCTTATCAATGTTAAAAACAGGTGTGCTGCTTATTTTTGTGGAAATTTATTTTTTATTTTTTTCAGGATTCTTTAGAAAATATTCTATTCATAAAATAAAATTCAAAACAACAGCATATAATATATTTTTTTTTAACATTTATTTCCAAAATAAATAAATAATAAAATAAAAAAATCTGACTGACCCAAAACTTTTGAACTGAGTATTTTTTACTATTATTATTATTATTAAAGCAATCAATGAGCAATTAATTGACTTGGGGTAAAAGGCACCTTAAATCTCAATCTTATACATAATTTATAAATTGTGTGATTAATGGCCTAAACATATGAGTGTATATATTTTAACAATTAAATAAATTATTAAATGCTAAATGAAAATATTAATCTATCAAGATGAATGAAGTGCAGATAAATAGCAACTAAAATAAATATGTATAAACAGCTGTGAATAATGTCTGTTAGAAAAAAAAGTTGAATAAAAAGATAGATAGATAGATAGATAGATAGATAGATATCCTTGAGCCAACTCGATGTTTCCTGTTCACTGTCCACTTTCCTGTTCCTGTTTGGCCTGAGTTCATGTCTTTAATATGGAGTGCTGCCGACAGGAGCTGGTGCACTGGCCTGCTGGTCTACTCTCAGACTATTAAAACCTGGCCTCTGAGGATGTGCACTAGAGCATTTTTTTCAGCCTGACCCTCTCTCTTTCAACCCTGATTTCAGTTTGATCTGCTAAGTGGGCCGGGCAGCCCTGCGTCTCCGCAATGATCAGCAACAGCACCTCCACTCATTACAAATATCGATGATCGCTTCAAATGATGAGTTGTCAGTGCTTGGAGTGCTTCCTGATCCCCACTTGACAGCCACACGCAAGTCCGCCTAAAAGACTCACTGGCGGTAAATGTGGGGTTTCCTAGTCAAGCCTGCATCGCTGTGAATCCAGATGGTTATTGAGAAAGCCCTTTACTTCAGATAAAAGCTCATCCATTATGAGTAGCCTGACACCGATCAGCTTTTTTTTTCTTCTTTTAACTGGAGCTGCTTTTGATTTGGGCATGGATTACATCGTATGGATGAATAGAAGGTGAGTTTTCTTTAAAAGCAGCATACTGTAAACATCTGGATATGTGTGGTCCTGTTTGGGCTCAGAACAGAAGTCTGTCAACCTTCCTGATGTCAGTGCATGGAGACATAAAGTCCTAAATCCTATAAAGTGTTTTTAAAACAACATACTTTCCTTATGGACTGCAGAATGCAGGAATTATACAGGAGAGACCTAAATTTAATTTGCCACGCTATTTCGCTGAATAAACAATGGTGAAGTAACTCCATGCATTCCTCTCATAAAGCAAATCTAATCATCCTCATTATGGATAAATACTAGGCCAAATGAAATGTTTCTGTTTAAGGCAGGCTTTTAGAGGTAAAAAATACATCAACACCAATGTCAACAACACAGAGTGAGGCAAGTGGATCTAGACAGGTCTGCTGGTGATATAGGATTCCGGCTTGGTTAAAGTGAACGGCATCTTGAACAGAAGATACAAGTTCTGGATTGGTTGGAGGATTCATTTATGTGTTTCAAATGTGTTTATAAGTTTAAAATGTTTTAAAGCCAATGTCTCACTGGCCAATTCGAAACAAATCGATTTTGGTCAGAGGTTTTTCTGAAACTGTTTCTGTCACTCAATGATTAAGAATGGAAAAGGGACAAAATAAATGTCTGTGACATTTCTCTTCGATTCACTGCCACAAGAAGCTCATAATTGACACATAACAAAAAAAAAGACATCATAACAGACTAGAATAGAGTGCTGCAGCCATGACGTCAAAACCCGGAGGACTAATTCGTTATGGAGCTCATCAAGATTTTACTATGGGTTTTTCAAAATATTTTTAAAATATGAGTAAAACAAGGTTTACGGTAAATAAAAACTGACTTGGACATTTTGCTCCACAATGTAAATTACACACATCCATACTGAAAATGCAAATTTTGAAGCAGTTATGTTACTAAAAAAAAAACAACAACATACGTTTGTATTAAGTAACTACATGAGAACATTTGAGGTGTAAGTGTGTGCAGTTTACGTCCACAAAAGAAAAAAAAAACATCCAAGTATTGTCTAGTTATATTTACCACAGAGCTTATTTTTCTCATGAATTGAATAACCCCATTATAAAAGCCCATAGGAAAATCTCGAGGGAACCCATGGTGAATCAGTCTTGGGTTTTGATGTCACTGCTGCAGCACTCGATTAGGATACAATTATTGGAGTAAACCAATCTGGTGTTTGTGAGGAAAATGTTTGGATCAGATCAGATCAGAGCAGGACACTGTCATATCAGATTTTCATTGTGAGAAGACCTCATTGGTCATTGCCAAGGCCTCATCTGACTGCCTTTGATACTTTCAAACTTGCTAGATGCAATCAGAGGGTCGGCAGGGAGCTGGGTTGCTGGGGCTGTTAACACTCGCCCGCTGAGAGACGCGGCAGAGACTCCCTCTGATTCTCCAATGACTATGTAAATGAAGCGTACGCATTAAAAAACGGCTAGTGGGACGCTGGCTTAAGATGATGCTGATGACAGCTGGAGCTCCTAAGGCTCTCAAACAAAGACACAGAGGTCATGGTGCATGAGGACAAGAACACACCAGCAGAGTGTTTGTTTGTGTTAGCGTCTGAAAAGACACAAGATGAAAACAATAACAGGAGGAGGCTCAGAGCATAGCTGCTGGAGAGATGGGAAGAGAACACATAAAACAAAATGCGCTCTGAGTAAAAGCACACAAATACTATTTCAGGCTTATTTTTTTAAAGGGATAGTTCACCCACAAATGCAAATTTCACCATAATTTATCTTTAAAACCCCAAATAACTCTCTCCTGTGGAACACATAAAGAGTTATCTTGCACAATATCCAAGCTGCACTATTCCTTGCAAAAAAGTGAATGGTGACTACAGCTGTCAAGTCAGATTACAGCAAGGTTTTCAGTGAATAGCTTCTCTACCTATAGTATGACTTCAGAAGACTATAGTGTAAATCATATGGGCTACTTTTATGGCACATTTATGGTGTTTAACCAATTTGATGCGTACATTTCTAAGCTCCATATTCTCCTATTTCATACTATAAATAATTCAAATATGATAATCAACAAAAAAACACATACACAAACTTTTTTTTAGATTATTTATTAGATTATATATTTTTTTATTTGAAAAGGAGAAATGTTGCCTTGACAACTAGTTAAAATAATGTTAAAATAATTTTTAAATATTTTATTTTATTTAAATGTACGTTTATTTCAAGTAACAAAAATATATTTTTTTATGGTTTTACTTTTAGTTATCTATAATAACACTGCAGTGAGTAAACAATGTCAAAATGTTAATTTGTGAGTGAACTATTCCTTTAACTTAATTCAAAGTTCAGTAAAATCTAAATAACTATTCTCAGTTAAAAATTTTGAGCGTGCAAATTATTTTTTTTTGAGTGCAATATGTCTATACAAAATCAGTTTTGTATCAATCTAAAGCCTGCATACAGTTCACTCCAGTGTTTTTTTTTACTGGGAACACACAGCCTTCACGCTTTTCTTACTTCACAGACCTAGGATGTCAGAGTGAGAGAGAGAGAGAAAGTGAGGGGTGGTCACCTTACCATTACAGCTGTGGCTGAGGGCAGGCTGCGTTACGGTTCTATAGAGAGCGGAAGTGTACTCTTCTTCCGAATCAGAGTCCTGCACTGCCTGCGTGGTGGCATTACTTAAGACGGAACTCTGGTTGTCATGGAGATTGGGTGAGGGTGGTTGAGAATGGGAATGCTCAGTGACTGATGGACTGGAGAGAGAGGATGGCATGGGAGAACCTAAAGAAAAAAAAACACTTTAAGCCAAAGGAAAATAAAAAATAACAACCGCAAATGAAAAGAACAAACATAGAGCAGCTACTTAAAAAATTGCATTACTGTAAATAAGCTAAAATTAAATAATTTTTTTCTTTTTAAAACTCAAGTTTGTGTGATTTTTTTCTTCTTGAAAATCAAAACCAAAGTGCATGTTCATGAAGCTGTATCAAATGCAGAAACACATGCTTAAACACAAGCAGCGTGAACAAAACATCAATTGCTACCAAACATAAAACAGCAAAGAATGATGGTTTGCAGCTTAAAGTCCCCATGAAATCAAAATGAAAGTTTTTTTGGGTGTTAGTATCAATATGTTAGTCTTAAGGTTATCTATAAGGCAGTGTGCTCCAAAACAGTGACAAAATTCACATTTAGAAGATATAAGCATTCAAAGCTTGCAGTTCGTCCCTTCCACCAAAACGGACGCTATTGGCTATTTTAAAAAGGGGCGGGGCTGCTTGATATGTCACGCCTTGTCTTCCTGTTTAAGTTAAAATGACGTCAACACATAGAGTAACGCTGCGTGTTTCTAAGCATTTCAGGGAACCTTTAAGCATTCTGTTTGTGATGTTTCTGCTCCACTAGCTGTGGTCACATGCAAGTTGAAAATATTCTCCACAGAGCCCACAATTGTCTTTAAGGCCACAGCATTGGTGAGCTGCATAAAGTTGTGAGGCTGAGGAAACCACTCTCTCTCTCTCTCTCTCACACACACACACACACACACACAAACACAAACACACAAACACACTTGCTTTCCTTGGCTGCCAAATTCACTTTATCTTCATCTTAGATCCATTTACCATCAAATCAGCCATTAACAAATGGACGCTGGTATGGGCATACACACATGCACACACACAAAAGCAGACATACTAACAATATTAAGGCAAGAACATAAGACTTCAAAAGGACTTGAAATAACTCTAATTGTTCATCAGACAAAGAGATATTCATGCCTGATGTATAATGAGAGAAAGCCCATATTTCCTGCTATTCATCTGAAAATGTTTTCATCTTGTTGACATTTTCAGAGTCTTCTTGTTATATGAAAAGGCTTTGCTCTTTTCCTCGCTCACATCTTTCTGGAACCGATCTCTCACACACAAATAATCACCTTCCCAAACCAGGACAAAAAAACTGACCTGGGCTCAATGCCTCCACTTAGCATATAATAACAGCTTATCAGACATGGTCAAGGACCCCTGATCTGACAGCAGTCAAAGGCAAAGGTTGAGGGCAGTGAGTGAATAGTAATTAAGCTGACTGGCTCTCAGCTCCCTGTCAGGGGTCTGGACACACTCATGAGACAGTGAGCAAAGTCACCTCTGCTTCCGTGGCGTTTGGCGTTGGAGTCCTGGACACACAGCCTTCTAATTACCTTCTACTCTTTACATTCCACTGCATTGCGAAAGAGAAATAGAGAAAAGCAAAGGACACGCAGACGAAAAACCAGTGTGTGTGTGAATGATAAAAAAAGAAACAGGGCTGAAAAAGCAGAGGAGAATTATTATTTTGTAATTATTGCAAGCGCTATTTATATATTTGTGATTTGAAACATAATTACAGGCAGATCCTCTGGGAGCAGGGCTCACACCAGCCAGCCTGCCCATCCCAACCAACAAATTAAGTGCCATTAACATTATGTGCTGCCACTGATACACCACTGTGTGTGTGTTGAATCTACCAAGCTCAGACCAGCTGACTAAAGCAATAAAGTGTTCACTCTTGGCTGAACACTGATATAAAGATACACATTAAATGACCTCTGATTCACCACTGCATTCATTACACAACAGAAATGTCTGTGATTGGTCACAATGCTCAACCGCTGGAAAACAACATGCACGATCAATTAATCACAGCAGCTGTAATTGCAATGTTGATAACTAATTATTTAATTAATTGTTCTACCTTAATATATTGTTGCGTTTTTAGTGTTTGTTTAGAACAGAATTGAGGGATAATTCAAATTTACATTTGTCAATCATATAAAAATTAATAGCACTTTTAATTTAATGGAAAAAGTGAGTTATAAATCATATAAGTCAGCTAAATAAATGTGGAAACATAAATAAAATGGTTATTTTAATTTCTTTATAATGTGTGTAATTAATTATGAGGGTTTAAAAATAAGTTATCAGAAAATAAGCAAACTATCAGTATCATGAGATGGCATGTTAGTATTAGTAAAAATTAAAAAAAATTGTAACCACAGATATAATAAATTATAACTGCTTATGTTTCCATGGTTACAGGGCTGTCCTTAGGGGGGTGCATCTGGCACGGTCTACTGGGCCCCACCTTATTATAAAGTATATTATATATTATATATATATACTATATACATAATATTACACTTTCATTTGGGTGTTAATTGTTTGTTTTCATACATTTTACGGTGCTACAGAAAATACTTAAATGTATTTAAAATGTATACACTAGTGGCTGAAATTATTCATGTGAACATTCAACTGATTAAAAGGTATATTACAATTGTAATACAAGTATATTTGAAACAATATTAAATGAGCAAGAACTGTCTGTGATTTGGCAGTAGGTATAGTACTACAGCATGATTGTGAGTGAAATATTACTTTCATACATAATTTCAATAGAAGATAAATTAATATCAGGTAACGTACATTTTAGACAGAATGTAAACTGTTATTTTGTTATTCACTCTTTGGCTGAATCACAGCTGTTGTGATGTTCAGTACAACAGCATTCTAGTGCACTAAAATCACAAGTAAAGTGCTATTGATAATACTAAAAAGCTTCAGAAGGTTTGAAGCACACAAGCCTTTTATGGTGAGGAATTCAGCTGTTGAATGGACTGAGGGAAGTGAGTATGCAGAGGGCACTGTATAATCCTTGTTTTGCAGCTTTTAAAAAAATTCATTTCCTCTATCGATTCACCTCTCATCCCGTTTTCATTTGTTCTCTCTCTCTGTGAGTGCTATTGATAATACTAAAAAACTTCAGAAGGTTTGAAGCACACAAGCCTTTTATGGTGAGGAATTCAGCTGTTGAATGGACTGAGGGAAGTCAGTATGCAGAGGGCACTGTATAATCCTTGTTTTGCAGCTTTTAAAAAAATTCATTTCCTCTATCGATTCACCTCTCATCCCGTTTTCATTTGTTCTCTCTCTCTGTGATAACCAAAGTTCTTTCTGTGGTTTTATGCCAACCTGCTCCATCAGCACTCCCTACTGCCTGTTTCTCTCTCTCTCTCTCTCTTTCTCTCTCTCACACACACACACACACACACACACACACGTGAAGAGATCAAACACAGATTGAACCTCTCTCTCGTGTGTAATGATTTGTGCGAGCAAATGAAGAAGTTGAACACGACACGTAATCCAGTGCAGCTGTCAATTAAAGCCGAGAGCAGAAAGAAGAGATGAAACCACTGCGGAAATAGCAGGATGGGAAGTGTTATTTTCTCTATGCTTCCAGTGCACAAACAAACCCACACAATGAAGAAATTTTTATTTCAGTGTAAAGAAAGATAGGTGGATGAGTACTCTCATGCTCGTGCATCAATTTAGCCATAATAAACAACAATAACAAATAATACTATTGAAGCAATCAGCAGTCCAACAAAGAATTCACACACGCAGAACTCCACAAAACAGCTGCAAAGAATTCTCATAAAATTCTACGAATGACCTTCTTAGACACGACGTGAAGTGAAATAAATGATTAACATTAATAATATGAATTAAAAAGTTTTCCGATGAGTGTTCATTAGTCTAATTGTAGGCTGTTTGTAGTTGCTAAGCAACATCACCTTGTGCATTAACACAGAAAGTGCACAGGTGTGAGTTTGTCAGCATTTCACAATAGCATTGAATGTTTCTCATCCTATTAAATGTGAAGTCAGAATTATGAGTTTCATAAACTTCTAAACCCCTTGGAATAGGCAAAATAAACTGCACACACCTATATGGAGCTCTGTGTTTTAAATACAGCATGAGCAATCTGAACACCCACACACCCACACGCAGCACAGAGCACACAATGATCAGTGTATTATTTCCACAGCCTCATCATTCCATGGCAGTAAACTAAAGGCGCTTGTTTGTCAGTCATTGATTTCCCTCCCCTTCTCTTTGTGTGATTTTGCGCGGCATTCTTCTGCATTCTTTTTTTTTTTTTTGCTTGACACCAGGTCAAACCTAATCAGCAACTTCCTGTGCCGCTGCGCGTGTGTGTGCATGCTGTGTGTGCAACCTGTCTGTTCTACTGCTCTCCGATGCCTCCTCATCCCCGATCTCATATGCAGGCCTCTAGGTTTTCATATTCTAATCGATAGCAACCCATGCCTCGGTGCTAACAGGAGCGCTTAAGAAAAGCCACGCTGCTGAAATCACTAACCGTCTGTCTCTCTCTTTTCTCTTTCTCTCTTTGTCTGTTTACCTGATCCTCAGTGGACAGCAGAGAGCACAAACAAAGCTGAAGGACACACTTTGGTAACATGCCTCAACAAGAACAGTGTGTGGATAAATCATACATGAGCATATACAATCGGGCCTTTTGGTCTGTTATACCACTAGCTTGTTTTTTTGTGTCATTTCAGTTATCTGATGCGACATGAATTCACGCCAGATGGTTTAAGAGAGAAATAAGTGTCTAGTGTGGTTCAGAGTTTCACAAGAAGTGAACACACAACAGTTGACACATCACAGTAACAGAAGTGAGCACATACACAGACTTTGATGCATATGAAATGAATTGTTGAGAAAAAGGCATGCGATGAATAAGATGATAAAAAAACTGTGAAGTTGGAAGCAGAGTTTTTTCGTGGCTGTATGGACCCCATGCAGGGACGGCTCACTGACTAACACATGACAAACGCTCCATCAAACTGGATGAACGGATTGGATGCCTTTAGAGATTAAATGCTTATTATAACTAATATGTGTTTATCATTGATTGATGCAAATGGAAAAATA